TTCATTTATTTTATAAAGTATAGTATAACTCAGTTGTAATTGCAGAGTCAAAATCTTACTAAATATATGGTTCATGACATAAGAAGATAATAACACAAGTTAAAGGATTTGACTCTGTATATATACATTTATAGCATTAACACAGTTGAGATTGCAGAGTCATAACCTTAAAGTTGTGTTACATATACAAAACAAATGATACAAGACATAAGAGATATAAATTATATACATATATAGTAAGGTACATTTTGTAGTTTATTAACTATAAGTTCATATGCATATATATGCATATATCTTAAGGCTGCTAACGCAAATTTTGCAATTTTTTTCAATAGCAATGCAAAATGTTCTGTTAACATATTTATATTTTGCCGCAATAATCACTGATTCGCAAACTAAAATTCAAATATAATGTTTGATGACGGCATACACCCGTTTACGTTTCACTCAATATAACGGTATACGCAGCCGTAAGAAGTCATTTAACAGTAGTATGCGCACATATATATATATGTATATATATGTATTTATATGTATATATAACGTCCAAATCAAAATAAAAAGCAAAAAAAAAAAAGAATTAACTATAAATACAAAAATGAGATAAAAACAAAATCATTATACCCTGATTTCCCATTTTCAATGGGTTCAGGGTATAAAAATATTCTTATATTCTTTAAGTTACACAGACATACATACACATACACACGCCGCATACATATGCCTTGTACCTCTTGAGGCTGAAATTGATTTCATTTCTTTAATATATTAACACTTGTAAACATATGCGCGCATATAGAATATAGATATATATTCATCATTTATTGTAGATTGGTTTAAATCTTGAGGTTAAGGTTTTGGACTTTAACAAGTATTATTTATACATTGCATACCCATGTATTTTTTGTAGTATCATTTATTTTTAAATTGTTCACAAAATATAAAGGAACCGAAAATTCAATAAAAGAAACAATAAAGATTAGTTTATGATGCTTCATATTGCTATAAGATCTGTTCCGGTATAAAATATATAAAAGATCTCATCTAAAATACATCTTTTTGGAGCTTAAGAGCTAGACAATAGTGCTGGGCGCAACATCGAGGTTTCAAATAAAATGGGAAATATCTATGTTTTTTGTTCGATGTTCGATGTTTTGTAAAAATGTTACCTCCACTAAATTTACTGGTTTAATAGAACTATTTCTAAACATCTCTAACAATAGTCAACTGAGTTAAGCAGAAAACGTGTTATGAGCTAAAAGTACTAAATAATATGTATGCGTGTCAGGTCAGCAACCTCTACTGAGAGTGAGAGGATGTCATCAAAAACGAAGCTCGCAAAAATCCAAAAATTTTGACATGCTAGTATTCATCAACAAAAAAGATCAAATGCGCCCTCTTAGCATATTGGAAGGTAAGGTTTCCCATACTTAGATTAATTTTGAACAATAATATTAATAACAATTTAATTGTAGATCTTAAAATATTCCATGATATTCCATTCAGTTTTTGTTTCTTTTTTATTTTTAAGTTTTAAATTGATGAAATGAGGAATGGATTTAAATCAAATATATATATAATTTAATGTTTGTTAATATAAACATTAAATACATTTATAAAAATAATTTCCCGATGTTTCATCGATACATCGATGTTTTTGATTGAAAAACATCGAAACATCGATGTTTCTCCAGTACTACTAGAGAACTTAAATTTTGCATGTAGACTAGACTTGGGTAGCTCATGAGTGAGTGAGACAAAATGAATGGCTCACTAAACTGAGCCACTGAGCTAGCTCCTTCAATATGGCTCATTTTGGCTCACTAGCTGGGTTTGGTTCACCCGCTCATTTTGGCTCACTAGTTTTTCGATAACTCTTTCAATATCTTTTTATCGAGGACAATCGATAAATTTATTGCTTTTTTCAGCCTAATTTGAACACTTCAGATTTACAGTGTATATACATTTGATAAATACAAAGATTTTGTAATTTACAGATTTGGATACCACGTCCCCTTTGCTCACAGTTTGTAAAAAACTTTTTATACCTTGAACCCATTTTCAATGCGAAATCAGGGTATAATGGTTTTGTTAAAAGTCTGTAACAGGCAGAAGGAGGCGTGGCAAACCCCACAAAGTATATATATTCTTGATCAGGTCGACAAGCTGAGTCGATTTGGCCCTGTCCGTCCGTCTGTCCATCTGTCCGTATGTTTGAACGCGTCGGTTTCAGAAGCTATAAGAGATAGAGACTTGAAATTTTTTTCCCAGGTCCGTGTATATCACGCGCATATCGAATTGTTCTCTAAATATCGATAACTGCTCCCGATATTTTATTATCTATTAAAACGCTTTTCGAAAACTAGTTATTTAATTATATCTGCTCCACCTTTAGAGCTAGAGCTTCCAAATTGTTGTATATTCAAATTAAATGTAGACTTATATGTATTTTCTATAATTTCGATTTTCGTTGTAATTTATCCCCCCCCCCCCCCGATATCCACCCTCTCACCATCACCTATGTAAAAGACGTATTTCAAATACTAGAGACTTGTGCTTTGGCAGATACACGTACTTTAATGTTATATTAACGACCTGATAGTTTGATGATCATAGTTCATTAACAAGAAACGTTATGAAACAATTAAATTTCCATAGTAAGCCAACACTTCTGCCAATACGTGTTTATGCTTATGTGTGGGTGTTTCTTGTGTTTTATTTGTGGCTATTATGATAATTATAGTAGAATCCGATTATAACGACACTCAAGGGACCGTCATTATACCCGAAAGGCACTATAACCGTATAAGTTTGCTCATAAAAGTTTGTCGCTATAACCGTACAGACGCTATAAGCGGAGTCGTTATGACGGGAGTATACTGCATTTCAATGAATGAAACAATCTATGTGTGAAAAGTGTAAAGTTTATTAAATTGTAAGCAATACATATATTTTATGCAGCTATAGCTTTAACTTTTTATATTTACGTTAAAACTTTTTTAAATACGTATTTCCCTCAGTGTCCGTATTACGTTACTTTATTTTTAGCCTGGGCAATGCCTGTAGCTTTATGACGTTGCGGTATATTACTTATTTTTGGTATTTTCACATTTCCTACTAGTGGTCACACATATTCAAAGAAAAGAGTGAGCGAGAGCAACGATCGGTAGAAGTGCGTTTTAAATAGGTAAAAAGTACAAACTAAACTCATTTTAACAATATAATTAGAAGACTTGAAGCTCTAGAAAGTGTTTTAAGACTGTGTTCAAATTACGTAAGAAAATATCTTTTCACATGCATAACCGCAATTCCTCATGGATAACTTAAGTCTAACACATGTATATACATAAAAAAATATGCACATATTTACGTCTCTTTCATGTTCATAAGTTAGAAAGAAATRGATAGAATTTCAATAAAGAGTTGCCACGTTTTAATTATTTTATATAAGACAATAATATAACAATAATGCGTATGACAATGTCCACGTATTTATGATTGTAATTATTAAATAATATTTAAATATTTGTACAAGATTTATTGACCTGATTAATTTATTTATATGGAATATCCATAAAAGTGTAAACTCTTATAAAATGGGCAAGGTGGCAACATTGCGCGAGCAGCCATTTATGCAGTAGTAAATTGTCCCGTCCCATTGAGCGTGTGGTTTGATAATTTTCTCACTGAAAAATTAATTTTCCTAGTTGAATCAGTATTCAATGATTTTATTTCTATTATTTAATAGTTGAATTGTGCTTAAAAAAAATTGTCATAAAGTGTAATTTAATTTGTCTGTTCGAAATATAGTTAAATTTTTGTGCAGCACAAATTTATTTTCGCATGCAGATGTTCATCAAAAATTTKACATACATACATACTTTGTGAAATCGAAGTGGCTTGGCTTTTTTCATACAAACATACATGCAAATGTATGTGTGTATCTGTCTTTCTATACACCTACCTAACTACATATATGTGCAGAAAATATAATTTTAATCGATAAATTAAAAAAAAAAGTTAACTTATTAATATATTAATGTGCCATAGAATAGTATCTTTTAAAGTACAATATTTAAAAAAAAAGCCAATGAAAATTTGAGCATGCAGACAATATTTAATATGCGACCACTACTAATATAAATTTTGATTGATTTTTATATGTTGAAATGCATAAACAAAATATGTATAAAAGATCGCATTTATGTGTGAGTGTGCTGTAGCATATTTGTTGATTCTTTATGCTTATAAATATATACATATATATGCGAGTGGGCTTGTGCGTTTTTGAATGTTTTTTGTGTATCTGCAAATGTATGTGTGAACAAAAGTACAGAGTTAAAATAGGGTGATTGCGTCAATGACTACTGACCAGAGTTGTCATGTATGTTTATTACATCCGGACAAATGCACAGACACATGCATATGCCTATGATTACATTGTGTATACTTTTCTGCAGAAGTGTAAATATGTATTTTTTAATCAAAAAGTGCTCGGCCTACAGACAAAATTAATAACATGAGTTTAAGCATATGTAAATTAATATGGCAAAGAATGTTCTTATATACGAACCGCAATATTTTTTTTTCAGGCAATATCAACAAAGATCTGTGTTTCGGAAGCAGTGAGTATATATATATTTATAT